GAAGAGCGATCACCTGTTTTTCTTCTCCATGCGTCACTTCCACCTAAAGGAAAAGGAGAAAAAAATAATGAATAAATAACAGACAACTTATACATAAACAACACTGAAACTTTATAACTTGCTTGCTTTAATCACAAATTAAGATTAAATTTCTATTGAGCAATGTACGTTTTATTTTTCTGTCTCTATTTTCTCATATGATGCATTTTATTACCGTCATATGTCCTCTGCCGCGACTCTCTATCTTCGGAAGATGTTCCGCTCGATCTGGGGCGTCTCCACCTACTGCAATTATAATCTACATTCACACTACAGAAACTGACTCTTCGCGGGCTGTACATACATATAGACGGCTAAGTCTATAAGAATTAAAGTGATTTAATTTTCTCAGTGACATACAGGAAAAAGATATATACGAATGTCTTCTTTAATTTTTTTTTATCGTTTTTAAAAAGATAATATATATATATATAGTGTATAAATAATTATAAATTACAAAAATATATATGTATATCGCAAAAGCAATGCATTATGTACTTGAACGATAATATATTGACTCACGATACGTATACACTGGAATAGAAGTGTAAGCGCTAGTCGCGTGATGGCAACGATGAGTCTTTTGGGTGCATTGTTTAGCTTCGGTGCAAAAATCTGGAGTGGTTGGTCTTCCCTGTAATCTTCTCAATTGTTCATACAGGAACGCTTCGAATTGTCTGATAATGATTACATAATATTAAATTATACCACAATTAGAGAATGATAATTATTAATATATAATTATATAAATTTTTCAACGTTCTCTATATGTATAAACTTATTTGATCCGACAGTAACCTGAACGTTAATGGTTGATCGTACTTCGCGACGCCAAGAATGGGTCCAGACATGCCAGATCTATTAAAAGCTTCCACCTGAAAAAATCACTCTTTGCAAATCAATGCAATCTCATGAGATATACCCACAATAATCATAATATTCTGATGATATTGATAGCGACATTAACTTTTTTCATTTGTATAAAATGATTACGTTACATAATATATTTTTAATATGAATTTTATAATAACTGGGCCTCACCTGTCTTTTCACCAGAACATGCTCGTTCGCTCTACCGTGACGAATCTGCAATCTCTTTAGTTCCATCAGTTGGAAAAAGATCTTTCTTTCGAGATAATAACGCCGCAGACTAATTTGCACATCCCTAGTGATGGTCTCCATATTGAGAGCTTGCTGTTTCGCCGTATTCGGACAACATCTTGCGTTTCGCCTCCGTGGAATTCTCGATACTCTCGGGCTCGGCTCTATCCCGCTGTCTCTACCTCCGCTGTCGCGACGTTGTTTCCGCCAGAATCGTTCTCGATGGGCATGATCGGAATTTTCGATTGTAACTAAACGGTTGCTAGTGGTCGATTGTATCTGATAATGAAATACGTTGATTGGCATACCATCAATTAGATCTTGGTACACAAAATATTTCTTCCTTAAAGTCGGGGAAATATAGAATTATACGGAAATATAGTTTTGAAGTAAGTTTTATTAATCATAATAGTACTTTTTTCCAAAAAGAAAAAGTTTAGAGATAATTAATTTAATAATATGTTATTGCATTTGATAATATGGATTAATAGGCATAAATTCTTTTTTTAGACTACCTGAGGCAAAGAGTTAATCCTGGCGGTTCTAGATGTACCTAAAGTCGTGCTAGGAGTCTCTTCCTCGCTCGTACTTGGCAAAACTCGCATAACACCAATCTCATTGTCTTCTTCGTGCTCCGTATCGCGCTCCAGTGTATCCTCTCCGAGTGCTTGTCTGATTTCCTGTTCAACCGCCTCGTCTTCGTCCCATTCTGGGCTATCTATCACCGCGACTATCGCACGCTGATGCGGCGAACACTCTTCCGAACTTTCAAACAGATGTTTCTTCGTTAATATATTTGAGGAAGACCTTCCTGTCCTCGCGTTCCTTCCCGTAGATGGTCTCGAGCGTCTTGTCTTCACTGGCTTCAAGGACTTTGGAGAACTCGAGCAACTATCATCGATAGAATAAGAATCTTTGCCCCCTAAAATTTTGGTCCATTAGGCAAATCTTTGTTGAGAACAAATGTGCGGAGTATTGTCGAAAAAAGTAATTTACAAATGAGTAATTTATAAAAGTTACAACTCGAAAAAAATTATATTTTTTACGATAAATATTTTAATTTAACTGCTAGACAATATCTCTATTTAAAGATTTTCTGTATTCGAAGAGATTAATGCTTTAAATACCGGAAATTTAAGTTGAAACTCATGAATCGTGATACGTTTCTATAATTTTTTAAATGTTTAAGCTTCTAGAAACATGTTGCATATTTCAAGATATGCAGTATTTTTGACTTACTTGTTTCAATCTCTGATTGTTCTCTATTGTCTGATCCATTAACATTCTCCGAGTTCTTATCACGAAGCGTCCTTTCCGGAGAAAGAGTTTCCTTCACATTCAACATCGATTCCGTTGATGACACGCCCGTAGATTTTTCATCGTGCTTGTTCAAATTTTCATCCTCTTTTGATTTGGCATCTTCAATCGATTCGGAGCTCTCTTTGGCGACTGTTTTCATGGATATTTGTTTTGTCAAAGTCTCGCCTTCTTCCTCTCCTGTTTGACCTGTAATTTTATCCTTTTGGACACTACTCGCAGTTTCGTGTACCTCTAATTTTCTTGAAGACGGTGTTTTCGATTCTTCATTATCCGATGAAGTCTTTTTCGGAGCAGTTTTTGCGTTCTCCTCTCGCTTCGAATCTTCGGAAATGGATTTTCCGCTTTCTTCGTCCATGGTAATAGAATGTTGGGAAAGGTCCTTTTGATCCAAAACAGATTGCTTATCGGTTTTCTCTTCGTCTTTAGAACTGTCTCTCCTCTCATTGACGCTTTCTTCAGTAGCATTAAGTTCGATACTTAAATAAGATAATTTATCAGGTATTTCGTCCTCGTCCGTTTTTTGCTTTTCGTGCGTATCGTTGCTCGGTGTTACGTCCTCGGATGTATCTAACCTGTCTGAAAGATTACTATAGCCAGTGTCAGGCAAACATAGATTTATAATAAATGTGCTCACAAATTCTGTACCTTTTTGCAACATTCGATTTTTATTTGGTGTGACTTACCTTGCATCTCATCATTCGTTTTCTTGGCTCTCTCGTCTTCATCTTGGATTTCTTCAGTAATTTCGGAATTTTCTTGCGTCCCTTTCGGTACGCTTTCTCCAGAGACATCTTGCCTATCCATTTTGTGCGACGATGCCGTTTCATTTTTATCGGAAGTAGTAATATCTCTGGAAATTTCCTTCGTCTCTTCTGTCTCCATCGTTTTCTTTTTTAAAACATCTTGATAGCTAATCTCCCTCGCTATATCCAACGTTGATTTTGGAGTGTCGGGCATTTGATCCTTGTGAACCATCGCCGTGACAATTACTTGCTCCACAGTTTCCTGACTGGTGCTGTCTGTCGCGTCTCTGCGATATCGAGATTCTATTATCCTCTCATCAACTTCATCCTCTTCGAGTGGTGTTCCCGAAGTACGCATTGGCTCTCTTATCGCTGCGCTTCTTTCTTTCTTATCGGGCGAGTCATCTCGAGCCACTGCATTTTCATCATTATCGGATCTTTTTGATTTGCCAGATCTGGACGTCTTCTTGGAGCTACGTTTGTGCATTTTAGTCAGTTTTGTCTCCTTTGTGCATTCTCTAGGAGTCTTTGATCTTCTTCCGGATACCATCTTTTCGCATTTTTTTTCTAGCGATTTTTTCACCACAATCACCTCTAAGCTGTCGTCGCTTACACTTTGATTGTCATCATTGTCCTCTTTTTTCGAGCTGTCTTTGGCTGTTGTTTCATTAGAGCTCTTACTCTTGTTCCTTCTTGTTTCCTGCTGCATTTTTGCGCGTTGCCGCTGTACGGTTACTTCAGTTTCATCGTCGTCGTGAGAATAGTCGCAGCTATCAGATTCGATCGACGAATCTGAATATTCGCGTTTGTGACTCATCGATATTCTTCTGCTTCGTTTTCTTCGCGGATTGCGTCCGCTGTTGCCATTATCATCATATCTATCGATATTTAACGACAATTTAAATAAATTCGATACTTCATAACAATGCAATGCGATTTTAATTAACCAAGAAGGTTTAGAAAGCATGTTTCCATCTCCATTTTCCTCTTTCTCTTTCTATTAATATTTTTATATTTAATTGTCGGAACTTATTAGAAAATTAATCTGTATTAATTATATCGACATTCTAAAAAATCTTAATTTAACAAATTTAAAATATTGAAAGTTTTTATATAATAACTTGTAAATGATGATAAAAAAGAGTTTGTTATATAATATTATGAACGCTCCTTGTATTATTTTGCCTTGCATACATGATGAGATATTATTAGCATTGTTTTACCGCGCGGATTCGCTTCTAGCTCTTCTCTCATCTTTTTTCGTGGATGTCTTCGATAATCGCACTTCCTCTTCGCTAAAACTTCGACTATCCCGACGAGCCAGCTTTTTTGAATTACTTTTTCGCCGCGTTCTCCTTTCTACCCATCGTTCCTCGTAATAGAGTTCGGGATGTCTGTGCCTTCTGTGACCTTTTCTACAAGGACTACTATCGCTCGCGGAGCTACTCCCATCATGTTTCATTCGAAACTTTGCTGTGAAAACTAAAATCGTTCCAGTAATTTACTTTGTTACGAAAGGCAATAATATATTACTATTGTACATATTTTGTTTAACGTATAAAGAAAATATCGATTCTTGAATATCTTTAAATGGTGAAACTTTAACGTTAATAAAGTCACACACTCATCTCGCAAAAATATTTAATATATAATGAATTTTGCAATAATTCACATTATTACTTTGTGTGAATTGCTTCTCAGCCAAATTTATCTAATATCTTTACATTATACCTAATCTGACCTTTGTTCGGTGCAGTTTTATGCGTCCTCAATTGCTGAGCCGTACTGCCACCGTGCATCTGGATCAATTTCGCGCAATCTCGATGTCCTCTGTAGAGAGCCGCGTCCAGTGGAGTCATTGAGTTGCCCTTGCTAGTCCTAAGAACAGCGTTGATTTTCGCGCCTTGATCTAAAAGGATCTTGCACGCGTCCAAGTAGCCGTGCAAGGCTGCGACGTGAAGAGGCGTTTTGCCGTCGTGCGTAGCGACATCCAACGTGCTCGGTCTTCTTTTCGCCAGCCACTTTATCAACTCGATTCTACCAGATGCGACAGCCTCATGGCCGATCCCTGTACCTCGTACAGTTCTGGCGTGAAGCGAACCGCCGTGCTGACTTAGAATCTTCAAGGTTTCCAACTGGCCCTTAGCCGCGGCGCAAAGCGCCGGTCTGAAAGAAGGCGTCAAATTCTTTTTGAAACTGATACTTTTTATTAGAGTCGAAATATACAGCGAATCGATTAAACTCGACTACATTAGTCGATTGTAGAAAGCTATTTAGAGAAAAATATCATCAAGAAGACCGACTGTGCGAATAAAGATTATCCGTAACTTTTCATAATCTTACGTTCTACCCTTTCGATCCTGACGATTGGGATCTGCACCGAGTTTAAGAATTTGTGCGAATAAAGATTATCCGTAACTTTTTTCATAATCTTACGTTCTACCCTTTCGATCCTGACGATTGGGATCTGCACCGAGTTTAAGAATAAGTGCGGTGGCATCAGCGTGACCCAAAGTGGCGGCGTAGTGTAACGCGGAGCAGCCATTATCGTCCACGTGGTCGGGATGAGATCCGCACAAGTTGACCAATGTTTCCACGCATCGCGCGTGGCCCCGGGAAGCTGCGCAATGAAGCGCTGTCAATCCGTCTTTGTCCGAAGTACCCGCAGCCGCCGATCCTCCAGCTCTGAATCGTTGGAGGATTAATAAATACTATAAAGATCTGTGATAAACTGATCCGTGTCAGAAAACTAAAACAATTGTGACGACCAGTCATCTACCTCGCCAGAGCTAATACAGCCTCCACGCTACCCGCGCTTGCCGCCCACAAGATTGGCTGTCGTCCGTCTTCGTCCTTTGCATTTACATCCGCGCCGAATTCCAGGAGCGTTTGCAGAACTTTCAAACCGATCTTTTTAGGAACCGCGAGCTCGGCTGTGGCGGCCGCGCCGCAGCATTGGGCGGCGTAGTGAAGCGGAGAACCACCGCGTAAATCAGGAGTGGAAGGTCGTGCACCAGCTGCCAAGACTAATCGAACGCACTCCGCTTCTCCGCAGACTGAAAATTATTTTTACACCTCCGATTATTATTATTATTTTTTTTAGATATTTCAACTTGCGAAAGAAGAGAGGATATAATAGCTGTCCCTCGTCAAGGATTTCCTCTTTAAGCGTCCTTGCTTTGAATTGCGGGTAATTTTTATATCAATTTTCTTTCATATATCACAAACCAAATTAAAATTGTATTAAAATAAATTCCATTTGAAATAACTATTAACTCAAGAATGAGCACATTGTTTCGAACCTATATTCTTACGCAAACACGATGCAAATATCTAGAATACTGTGTTCCCTTTTTGGAAGGTCAAATTGTCCGCGGTCGTACATTAAACTCCCTTAAGAGCTGGGTGACGGGTGAAAATGTAGAGCGCATATCGTTCCCTCCAATCTTCGGGGAGATGATGGCGTGTAATGGTCAAGTAAGGTCAGTAGGTCGTACCGGATGACGTCACTTCGGTCTGCTAACGATCACGCGAGAGCACATATTATCGCGATCATTTGAGCGAATTGATTATAATTATATCTCAAGTTATTTGTATAATGGAAAACTTATAAATACATGTAAAAATGTTTCTTTATTCAAAAAACTTGGACGGATCTAAAATAGTGCATTTCTGTAATATGATAATCAAGAATTTTTAAAAATTGAGTTATTTTTAAAGTCCTAGCGGATCTTTAAGGGATCTTTAAGGGATCAAAATTTAATATAATAAGATAAAAATCTAACACGATTTTTCACAGTATAATATAAGAATAAATATAGTCATCTCTTATCTTGAAGAACAAATATTCTCTACAAAGTACCAAACTAATCTATCGACCCGATGCGAATTTTCACGATTGTGTGTAAGAATTTTTCCGAAATATTTTTCTAGTTTAGATATATTAGATACAAGTAAGAGAAGTACCGGTGGCCCAATATAATTAAAATGATTAACATTTCGACATTAACCGAGCATTTCGAAACAACACGATGCACAGCAATAAATGGAGATATCGTAAAATTGAAAATATCGATTTAGATATCTGCGCGCGGAAGACACGTCGCTGTAATTGTAGCCAGATCCGTATCCTAAAATGTGTAGCCCCATTAAAGTACGATCAAATTTTCGATTCTAAATCAAAGCTGACCACGTGGTGGACTGACCAGGTCACTCGCTACCATAGAAACCAATGGTCACAACATGCGGCTACCTATAAAAGAATCGTATAATGGCTGATACCACGGCAAGGTCGCCACGTGTCGAATTCTAATCTTCGCTTGGCGTGGATCGTCCCGCGAGCTGTCAAGAAACTGATTACTTAAAATACCAGGCTGTTTAACCTCGGTATGCATAGTGGATCTTATAGTCTCGGCGACGTAAATGGAATAAAAGTTTTATCATCCCTTTTTCTGAAATCTGAAATTCGTTTAACTTTTCTCGTAAATTCGTATTTTATCACAGGTATTTTAGATTATTAAAATCAAAAATGTGTATTCTTTTTTTAAATCAAAATTATTTTTCATTGAAATTCAAATGCTACATAAAAAGAAAGTGTATATTTACAATAAGTTTAAAATTTTTAAGTAGATATCGTAATTTTTGAAAATTAATTATGCGGCATTTTCTGTATAAATGAGATAAATTCAAAAAATCTAAAATCCACTTTTAAAAAATTTGCGGTATAGAAAATGTACGATTATAATTATATTTGTCTGTCCGAAAATAAGTTTTATTTTATTTAAACTGCTTTTTCTTCATGACATTATTGTTACTTATTAACGATAGATATCATCTTATATATTTATTTTTAATCAAAAATAATTTCTCGATTAATCAATTAATAGAGAAGTAATTAATGTTTGAGCTAATCACGTGTAAATTTGCATAAAAATATCCGTTCGTGAATAAGATGTAAATCGCAAGAATACAGTGATCTCACGCGAAACAATACTTTGTTCATCTGTTTACAAAAAAATGCAATATATTTTTATATTATTTATATGTATCAGTGATAGCGTCTCTCTGTTACAAGGAAATATAATTGATCGAAATGAATTTATTGGGTTACTTTTCAGTATAAGATAAATTTGATATTACATACAAACAAAATTTATCGAATTTTCAGAAACTCAAGTTGTAAACAAGTAACTTCTAAAAAAATAAAAATTTTAAGAACAAATATCTGTGCATGATTAAACTTTAAATTAAAATGAGATCCACTTGTCAAATTACTAGCTAAATAATATAATTTCGTTAGCTGTTCCCTTAATTAATAATTAATTACTAGAATAGCATAACTGTGTCTCACATTTGTATCGAAGAAAAATCGATTCCAGATCGGTGGAACCTTTTGAGAAAAAATAGAACGTTATAGATTTCTTGCGCAGTTTATAATCTTTCGATACATACGTGCAACGAACTCACACCGTACGATGCGGCGATGACTGGAAATCGTTATTTCGTTGATTCACCATGCCGCACATCGATCGTTATTGCTCCGTTATTAATTTGCTGAGACCTTCGTACTTCGTGATGTTGCGTCATTAATATTTAACGCTAACATCTCTCCGCGTTACATGCACCTCTTGTACGCCTCAAATAACACGTGCGCTTATTGTTTGCAAGATCCGAATTGGTAATCCCGATCGAAACGCTGTACATAAATCTCTCTCATGTACAATGTACATATTTACCGACAAAAGTTAAAAAATAAAACAGCTATTGTCTCTCACACACACACTCTTGCTCTACACGGAATATATATTTCTTATGCTTGATACAATGAATGATATTGACATAAATCAACGAATAAAATGTGATTGATATATAACTCATAGAAAAATATGAAAACTATATATTCCTGTATTGTCCCTTCAACAGTATTTTCAGAAACTCTTATCGAAAAATATTTTTCACTATATTTTTTTCATATCTTTAATAATATTCTGGATATTTTATAGAAGGAGAGGAAGAGAGAGAGGACAGATTTTATATTTATATATTTCTTTAAATTCTCTATAATCTTAAAGAAATAGAAAAATTGCAAAGAAAATAACCTTTTATATGACAAAAAAAATAGAAATAATATTAATGATATAATTATATAGAGAAATGCGTTAATTTTTATGATATCAATCAAACAATATACAAGAATTTAATCGATTCTCGTTCTAGTTATGATATTCCAAAATAATATGCATATTTAATTGGTCTCCTTACCCCCACGATACGAATTACGGAACCACCTCGGATTGCTTGCTTATCATTACGAATGGCGCGAGATTTCAAAAAGTCAAAGCCAGTCAAACGTCAAATGTTGCTCCGGCCACGAGGTCGACTCATTATGACAACAGTGAAACGCACCTTTATAGAGTGGGAAGCGCACTGAACTGAACAGTCTGCATTAGCTATTAGCCTAGCACGAGCACGAGTAAGTTAACGTAAGGGTTGCTTAGCTACCACCGCGTCTCAGTAACGTACCAATAAAAACAGACCCATATTATCGAGTGCGAAAAGATTTATCTGTATGTGTGTGTGTGTGATCAAGATCTGTCAGATCTCAGGTCTTGTGTTTTCCAATTAGATAAAAAAGCTCGGAGAGTTCTTTGAAATAGAATTTGAAAAATTTTTTTCAAAGTGAGGAAAATCTATTTAAACTACTAAGATTAATAAAAATTACAATTAAAAAAATTTTTCTTTTTGTATGTTAAATCCTGTTTTTATTTTTAAAAAATTGTAAAGTTTGTAATTATTTACAAAAATAAAAAACATTTTTCTAAGAAAATCCAAAAAGTGTATTAGAGCAAACATGATGGCTATTTCGATTAACCAAAATTATTTTGGGCTTGCATAAATAATTTTTATATGTAAATATACTTGATAAATGAAATAAATTCCCTATTCTGTGTAAGAAAATTATGTACTTGACATCAATCTATAACTGGGGGTATAGCTCAGTGGTAGAGCATTCGACTGCAGATCGAGAGGTCCCCGGTTCAAACCCGGGTGCCCCCTCATGAGATATTTTTTTATCATATTATATATTTTCTTATAAAGACTAAAAATGTTCAAGATATTATTTTGTAATGATTTACTTTTTTTTGTAATTACATACGTATATTATCATTTATATATGTGTATACAAAATTCAATACAATTTGGCAACATTATTATTATTGACTTTTTTACGCAAAAAACAGGAATAATAAATAAAAATCTCGTTTGATTTTTACACTTTATTATCAATTTCATCCAAAATAAGTAAACAGTCATATTAGTAAAATTTGTAGCAAATGTTAAATTTTTCTCAATGGTCATTAGAGTCTATCTTATAATATCTTTCAGAGAAAATATTTGAAAAAATATATATTTATCGATAAGAGCACAACTTTTGTATTTTATTTTTAACTTAATAATAATGTTATAGTGAGAAATTATAAGTAATCGATAAATTGTTAAAAAATTACAGAATTGTCTCGACAAAAAATTGATCGGCTCACTATTTGCTATCCCTCTCTTTTTTTATAGATGTAAAATTATGTCCAACAATTACATAACATTATAAACAAACATACATATGACAACAATATAGTAAAATATAAAATTATACTAAAAATTTAATTTTGTGCGTACTTAAATATTTGAGAGCGAACATTAGAAAGAAAAAAAAAAGTACATAAGAAAGAAGGTTTACCTAAGATTATAGCACTTAATATCTCTTCCATTAGAAAACAAATTATGAATAATATATGTGCTATTATAATTTATCCTAATATTGCTACATTATTGGGTTTGAAATTATTTTGTATATTCTATTGGTAGTGTCACTCTCAGTCTTTCAATGCAATAACTTTTGTCAATATTAGCACAGATATGAAAACTTTAGATATAATTTCTTATAAATCTTGCCGCCTCACTTTCTCTCTCTTAGTTCATTTAACTTTTCACTATAATTCTAATTTCTTAACAATTATTGTCAGTATATATAATTTTATATGAAGAGTAATATCTTAATAGTACTTGGAAGACTTAACAATATAATCATTTCTAATTTTTACTTTGTTATGCACATATAAAAAATAAATCTTGTAGAATATATATCATTTATGAATATTTGTCATTTTATATATAAGGCAATTTGTGAAAATTATATATATAAGATCTAATTTCTCAACCAATATCCATCTTCTATGTATAATTATAAAAAAATCGAGTGTTATTTGCAGTAGCATTTTTTTTTGTCATGTATGAGAGATGTTATAATGTTGCGATCTAAAAGCGAGTTCAATATTTGTGCCTAATCTTAAGAAAATCGGTAATATTCTGCAATGTGGTTTAGCATATCTTGAAAAGCCGTGGAGAGTGATGTTCCAAATTTCTGTCTCCATAAGTGCCTTGCAATGATATATTGGCCCGAAGTGTGCGTAGCTTCTTGAACTTCCTCACAGATTTCAATGGCGTTTTGCCAAATTGTTTCTTAAAAATTAATAAGAACGAATAATTCGCGCAAAAATTGTTTATACAGGTAGAGAAATATATACACATATGTAATTACGATATTATTGTATAAAGAAGAATAATTACCAAGATTGTCAAGAAGTTTACTTTGACCAGGTGGATCAAATTTTTGTAGTTGTTCAATACTGATAATCTTGTATTGCCTTAAACTCTGTAAAGATTCATAACTGCAGCAGCAAACACGATCATTTGCTACTATGTAACTTCCTGGCACTGTATGCTTCACAATTTCTTTCAGAGCTTCCTTCACCATATTACACTTGTTGACCCCTATTTGTTGCTTGTCAATCTTTTGTGGCTGTAAAACATGACACCAAATTAAAACAATGCAGCATTTTGCAGCAACTAATATCTATATAATATTACTTGGTATATAATAAATAAAACAACAGTAATCGTTAATAATACATTCCATTACCTCTGGTACAGCTTCAATCATATGCAACCATATGCGAGGTGGTATAGCATTCGCTTCCGCAATGCATATTATTGTGTGGGAATTATTATTGCGTTTTTTGGCAGAGTTCAAATCTGGTTGACGCTCTGTCATATAACCACCAGGAAATTCATCCACTATTAATATTGCACCTTCACCGCCTAATAACCAATCCTCTGGATGTTTCTTCACATAGATTGCAGAAACTTCGTCACATCGTTCGTATGTTTTTCTAACTACATGTTTCTTGATATCTGCAGTAACATATACATATATATATATATATATATATATCTGATTCTACATAATATTTCTTAATATGTCATAAAATATTTGTGTAAATAAGGACCTAAGTATGAAGCAGTAATTTCACAGGGAATATTTTGACACCATCCTAGTATCAATTGAAGGCACATTTTCAGGTCACATTTTATTCCAAAAAAGAAGGATTTTTCCCTTATCGACAGCTTTCTCAGGCAGTCGGGACAAGACCAAATATATTTGTCTATGATTCTTGCAGGATTCCATGCTAAACTACGTCCATTACATTCCAAATGAGGACAATTGGAAACTGTACGAATTAGACTCATTTCTTTTAACCAACTGCACAATTCTCCCTCGTGTCCTTTTTGCAGCATTGGTCGCACGACAACGTCGAATAATCCACCACCATCACTAAAGCTTCCCAAACTTCCTGTTCTGTAAAAATTTGTATTACAGGTCAAATGTAACATATCATTATGAACTGATTTATAATTAGTATAATTGATGTGAATGGCAAACTGCAGTGTTTTATTTATCTCAATGAGATTTACAAAAACCTCTCTCTATTTTTCGCAATCAGAGCAAATGATAGGATTTGTATATAATAAAGAATTATATAGCTATCATTTTTGACATTCCATGATTTTTATTACCTTGAATTTTTAACTTTTGCGTTCCTCATCATTAATTCTAAGGTAACAGACAGTGTTTAATAGATATGTAATAACAATAAATAAAAATTTGCCCACACACATAAAGTGAACAAAAAAAAAAAAAAAAAAAATTGTAAGAAACGCTAACAGGAAAATGTCAAATTAATACGATAGAATCCATTGTTATCTGTATATGATGGCTGGTGGCGCAACCGCGCAACGTTCCCCCGGTGGACACTGATACAACGAAGCCCAAAACGCAATGCGCATGCGTAAAAATGGAGCGCTATTATATTTGAAATCAAGATATTTGGACAAAAATAAAGATGTTTAATTTAAGCTCTGAAAAAAATTCATTCAGTGGTGTGTATACTTACCCTTCAGTCTTTTGTTAAGATCTTTATCATAGAATGCACTATGCGCTCCCATATTCGCGTTCAAAAAACCAAAACAAGTAGAGAAAACGTTTATACAAGATATTTACAATAGATTTACATCTTATAAAATTTAGAGAAAAAACGCATCTAAATTATCCTCAATACATTGCGGATTTTTTTTTATTTTATTAAGAACACGTTTTACAAAGCAAAATCCTGTGATGGTGGAAGTTGTGGAGGCTGAGAAGACTACGGAATTAGTGTCGATAGGTACATTTCAACAAGGTTCTGAAAAGAGGTGAGTGCGGATAAGGAGATATCGGCACATTAATATAAAAAGTACTCTGAGTGACAGCGTGAATATTAGGCCGGCACATTCATTCATCCGTTCGTTCATTTATCGGTCGATCAGTCGGTCAATCGGTCAATCTGTCGAACAGGTAGACGGTCAGACATTTTTCTACATACGCATGAATACACTGCACTTTCATATGGATGCACTTTAAAGATAAACGTATGTCTTGCCTACACGTGATCTTGTGGAAAACGGTGCGGGAAACGAGAGGAGCATTGATATATCATACAAAGTATTTCGTACAATATAAACGGATTATCGCTTAACGAATAAACACAATAACTCTATCTTCCTGTTAATAATATAACACTCACGTGAAAGAAAAACAATTTTCTATGCAAAAGTCGATTAAACGCAACAATTTATACGAGTTTTTAGTTTAATTGTTAAGTATCATGCACAGAGAGAAAGAGAGAAAGTAAGAAAGAGAAACGCAACTTGTATTTATCCGATTTTCACTAATAGCATAAGTGCAAACGCCATTAAATATAATAATTGCTGATAAGTTTAAAATTTTTATCAACTCTCGTTTCTATAATCATAACAAGAAGATAGCAACGGAAGAACTCGTCAAGGAATATAGCAAAAATGATAAATTCATATAATTAGCCTGTAATATCCCGAAGAAGAACCTTTTATGCAAGAACCATACATTGCATAAGAATGCATTTAAATGTAATATAAGAAAACGGCAACTCGATTATAGATATTCGATCGCGGACGTTTGTCTATATTTGATGATTAATATAGATTAATCCTCGATGAAGGACTATCATTTTACGTGGGGAACCGTGACCATCATTACTAACAATCTCGTAAATACACAGTTGGATCTTATAAAATATTTACGAACGAGATCGATATTTTAAAAGAAACGAACAATCGCTCTTTCCTCTATATTTCAGATATATTTCATATTACGTGCATATAGGAAGGCGCCCGCGCACACACGCGCACACACACGCACACACACATCTTCAAGATTTCACAACGAAAAATTCAATCATACTGCACTCTACTCAGCCGATGAAGAGGATAAACATATTACAACATGATATTACAGACAATTTGGCAGGCATGATGAACATAAAACCAAATATACACACGTGACACAAAACTTGACCACGTTTTTCTATGCTATCGCCCCTCTTACACTTCTTTCATTCACTCGCTCAAATTCTTTCCTTTTTCTCTCTTTTCTCTGCTCTTGTTGCCTCCGTTATTCTTATTTATTCCTATTTTCTCTATCCACGAGGTCCTATAATAATGTAATATAGGCTTTAGTACTCTATAATGTATGCTAAATTCTAGGACTATCGCTACGCTGTTTCTAAATACAACGTAGTTTCCTTAATTAATATTAGGAATATCGGCAGTGAAATTCCAATGACAGACGCGGCAGGCAGGCAATCAGTCCGGCAAAGTTTGTGGCACTTGCGCTGTTCCGGTGCGTAAAACAGATAAAACTGATTGTCGGGGTGCCCCGCACGTTTAATTTTTAGCATTAAGTGTTGACATGCACACGATGCCACGCAATGTCTACAAAGATAATGGATCAAAATTAGGAAGGGGGGGCACCCCACTGCTCGTACCGAGCGATCTCGCTTCCTTATCTCCACCATGGCACCTTCATTATCATATTCCACCATTACTCGACATTATCGTCTTATTACTCTACTCTTTTCTTCCATTGAAAAATAATTTCTTTACAATACTTGGTGAAATGTGTCCACACCGGCGAATACGGATCGCTGCGATCGCCTTCTTCGCTTGCTCGATTTGATCAGAAGCAAACCGATGTTGAATCGTCCGAAACGAAGATTACTAAGATTATAAATCACAAATGAAATCACAGACTTTCGTTGGTGGTTCGAATAGAGAGGGGCCGCACATTGCAATTAGAACAACGTTGTAGGCATTATCAGGAAAAGTTTGACGAGAGGCACGGAGAACTTGTCTCTCTCTATTCCCCTCCGCTCTTCATTCCCATCCATTCTCCTTGATCATGTGCGCAAGTTCGATTATAAACTTTCCTTCCTTATACTTTTGACTTGATTCGAACGCATGCTCCTAAAAAATATCATTAAATGATTAATTTTATTAAACTTTCCTTTATTCAAGATTAATTTGAATATTTTGTTGGATAACTAACATATTTCCATCCTAACGTGGTTTTGCAACATTCGCAATAGATATCGGCGACAGCATGCAACCCAGTTAACAGAACTCGCTCCTCCGCAGGTCCGCAACCTACGTTCACCCTACATAGTAAATATAATTATCATTTTGCAAAATGTTTCTCTCTCTCTTCACCAAAGATGTATATATAATCAGGTATACTCTAAAATTACCAACCATTACTAGAAACAATAACTAGAAAAAAGAATATCGTTTATCTTAAATTTTCCCAATTAATACTTGACAAATTATTGATAATGTTTTCTAATCATAAATAATAATTGAAAGAATTTCTACCCATTTAAAATAAATAAATAAATAAATAAAAACCCAATTTGGAAATAAAAATCTTATTCTTTATTTATTTTCAAGTAGTTTCTTCTTTTCTCTGTCTATTCTTTTACAAAACTTAAATATATTAAATATAAAAAGCTAAAAAGAGAAGAAAAGAGTGGTGCCAAATTAAATTCTTGCTAAGAAGAAATTGGCCTTGATTTAATTGAAAGAATAGAGATAATTTTGAGATACCCTGTATATATACATACATGTATATTATAAAAATGATCGACAGCAAAGGTGTAAAAAAAATTATTCTTTATTTCATTTATTTAATATCTTATTGTTAATTATGCTTACACGGAATTAAAGAGATAGGCACGACCTTGACTGCCCTGGAAGGACTGAAATGCGAAATGGACAGAATTTAGTTTGATTCGTAATGTATAAATGTACATGATAAAACGAGACATCGAGTTACACTCTCCTATTATTAGCTATTATGGAACTATTTATGATGTCGATCGGAAGCGCGTGTTTCCGGTTAGCGAGTTTCCGACTGTGATTTCTTCAGGCTATTATGGATCTCTTTGAATTCACATTATTACTGTACGATGAAGTAAACGATAATAATCTTTTCCAATCAACATCATGATTAGTTTCCGTTGGCGAGAAAGGAAATCATTTCAATTGAAAATCTTTCTCCAACACACACACACAGTTCCATAATAACTCTCTTAATCCCTTATTACAGATTATGATGTCAGAAAAGTGAAAAAAATAAATCTTTTCTTGTACTACATGCTACTGTCGAAATGAATTAGTTTCTTCATATCCTGCCATAATCATATTCGCGTCGATATATAGATTAATCAAATATGTCGATAACTTTCATCGACATAAAAATAAGATTAAAAGTAACTTTTGAGACACGCGTTTTCTTAGAAAATTTTAAGTAACGATTTCTAGGCTAGTACCAATATCATATAATCCGATATGTTCTCTCATTGAGAGATGACGAGAGATGATTTCTTTAAAAAAGAAAGAAATGCAATAGAGACGTGTTGCTTGATCGAGGTATAGCTCACCTTAGAGATGAGTTCGTCGTGATTGGCGAGATGAGCACGGCAGTGAATGCACGAATAAGTGCGGTGACAGGAAGGTAGGTACGCTTGAAAAGTTTTCACCATGGTGGCTTGGCGTATCCAAGCGAGCGAGGACACACTTTGCCCTTGCTCGCTGCTATTCTCTATCCTAGCAGCGCAAGGATACAGATCTCTTTCTCTCCGCGAGAAGAGAAGAGAGAGGGAGAGATTTGCGTTAGAGTTTTCTCTCTATTTATTTATTTTCCCTTTCTTTTCTTTACGTTCAGCGGACACGAAATCGAATTTCTCTCCGAAACGCGGGGTGGTGGTGCGATAGTAGCCCCGTTCACCGCCGCTTCGTGCTCCGATCAGCTGTTGAGCTGGTTCAGACAGCGCCGGTTCGGGGACACCTGTAGTCAATAAAAACAAAGGAGATTACTGAAAAATGTGCAACGTTGATCTTCATTTCGAATCGATTCTCGTCGATATATCAAGTCCGTAGACCGTAGTCCATCCCATAACGGGATCTCGCGACACGTCACTTTTTTTTTTTTTTTTTTTTTTTTTTTTCCATTTGACACGCCAAGTTTGATACAGATTCGAGAGTGCGTTAAAAACGCGCGGGCAGCGAATAGGTAGCTCAGCGACGTGAGTTTTCATATTCGTATCGCAAGGAAAGTAGCTTTTTATCAGTAACAGTTATTGTATTAGCTCGGAAACTCTAATTTCGCGCTCTTACAAGCTCTGCAATTTTCACGAGATATACGCGTCGACGATATATCGATCCGTACGTCCGTGAATTACTCCGCGATGAATATCTCCGCCAGCGGTAAACTGCATTACGACGAGTTGCAAATATTGTAGCACAAACGTATGAGCTTTTGTGTATACGTATTCTTCGTCTTGAAAAAATTCTTTATTTCAGCCATCGCGAAATGTCATTGCGTTCTTTCGCTATCCTTTCTCTTGCTCTTATCTTTCTTTTTATTTTCGTAAAAGAAGAAAGAAAAGGCTATTGGCGACTGGGTGGGGAAGAGCGCAATGACAGCTGCGGAAATGACGTTGAAAGCGAAGCAAGGCACAGCTTTCAAAGGCAATTGCACCAACGTGCTACACACATCGGCTGACGTGCCGCCACGTGCTGGCGCGCGTTCAAACAAAGAGACAAGGACGTTACGTTATTATGAATCGTTAAAGATAGAGGTCTTTTTTTTTCTACGCGCGAGGCGAATAGAGACGCGCGAGGGCGCGAGTCTCTTTCTTATCCTTCCTTAGAACGGATGCCGGATGCTTTATAAATGCTAATCGCGCACTCGCTTCTCCGCAAAATCTCCGCTAATCGAAATTGATTCTCGCGATGACCTCGCGGAAAAGATTTAACTAGAGCTATCCAGTCCAAGACTGTCCAAGTACATATACACTCGCGAGTACATCTTTAAACGCACTTTGAATACGAATATGATAATTCTTAAGATGAAACAATCACTGGGATATATTGAAATTTATTCGGATTCGCGAGTATATACCGATTGAATTGGATCTCGTCTCCGTTGACGACTGGCTCGAACGAGAGCGTACGGGAAGGAGTTTCCTAACGGATGGCCGAGAACAAAGAGCCCGGGACATTCGAGTCAATATACTAGTCAAGGTCATTGCTACTTATTGTAGACGCACCGGCGTCTTTTTTATTCTCTCTTCGCGCAAGTACACACGCGACGACGAGAAAAAGAGAGAGACCGGCTCAGCAATTCGCCAAGCTTGCAGCGATCGACTAAAGAGAGGAAGCTTGTACGCATTTGTGAGAAAATTTTATCTAAAATTTATATCTCTCGTCGCAAATCAGATAAAATCGAATTATCTATTCATATACAAGTGTCACGAATTATAAAAGACAAAAATTCTTTTTGCGAAAGATTCTATACGGAATTTAAAAAGAGGGAAAAAATTGTTGTGAAAAATATATATAAATAATTTCTAAAATATATATAATTCTTGGCGGTTGGGCAAAAACAGAGACGATAAATTGATATAAATGATTATGAAATGTTTTTATTGATCACAAGCATCGATCTGAGCTTCTTTTCACCGATAAGTCTATTCGATACTTTTAAAAAGAAACCTAATAAAGTACAAGCCCCGGGTGACTCGGAGAGGAATGATCGAGGGGTTGACGACCGAGGACCCAAGTGCGGGGGACAAAGACCCCTCTCCCCCTGCGCTTCCAGTTATTTATAAACTGCCTTCTGTGCGCAAGAGAATTTACGCGAGTCATTCACCCTTCACCCCGCATTAGAACTACATTACAAACGAGGATCGAATGGGCGGGTGCGAATGCCCTCGTCGCAACGTTGTCGCAACGCACTGATTACGACGCAGGGAAAAGGCAGGGGAAGATGGCGGAGAGAGCCACACGAGAAGCCTCGAAGAATCCTGCTCAAATCGCGATTGAGAAATATATTCTAAACAATGACAAAGAAGTGGGTTCAAGCGAGCCAATGATTCATTAATTTTAGACAAATCTGAAGGGCTCGTAACTCTCAAAAGTGGCTCGAAGAAAAATATATATGCACGATGCGCGATAAGGAAAGCAGCGAGAGAGAATAAAAAAAAAAAAAAGAGGATAAGGAGATAAGGAAGTTGTGTGTGGTATCGAAAATCGGTGTCTCCCAAAATGGGATATCGAGGAAGAGGAGGAAGCTACGCGAGGCGCCAGGAAAGAATCGCGTGCAACAGGGAGACGAGAGAGAAAAGAGCGAAGCGCGCGCGCGCGCGCGCGCGGCTATTCCGTCGCGCAGTCAGCTGATAGTCCAGTCAGCTGTAAATGTACACAAAACCGTTGTCCAACAGGTTCATGCGACGCGACGTGACGCAACGCGCCGCGCCGCGACGCCGCCTTCGATCGACCGACGAGTTCGCAAGGACAACTCGCCGTTCCCTTCCTTCTTCGCAAGCCAACGAGGAAGCAACGATTGAACCGATCAACCGCGAGAAGAAATATTCGAGAGTGTGCCGTTTTAACGCGCGGTTCTATATATACGCGCCAAAGATAGGAGCACCATGTTTACGCGCAATATTACTCATTCGAAAAACAAGATCTCCTCGCGACACGATATTCGCGATTGCATTGATACGATCGATTGAATAAATCATACATACATTGACTAAATAAATAAATAAGAAGAGAGAGAGAGAGAGAGAGAGAGGATGAGAGCCGTGTGTCTAGTTTAATTAATTCACGTCATTGTTCGTCGTCATACATATTCGTTTTCTTTGCAACCCGGCCGTCAAATATAAATAACAGATTGTTTTTCAAAGATGGTCGTGTTATCGTAAAATGTAATGCGCAGAATTTTTATAGACTATAATTCTGATTCTTCTTTTTTCGATAACGCAATATTCTCCAACAAATTTTCTTGTCAAATATCACATATACATGTTTCCATTATAAATATTATATATTTCTCTTGCAATATATATATATACATATATTAAATAAAATATATGATATTTTTTCTCCGCATTATTACGATAAATAAAAAATCTGGTAAAAAAAAAAATCAGTGTCTATTCAGTTACGCTATCCGTGGACAAGACACATTTTAAACTATTATATTATATTTTTCATAACATTCTTATATTCGAACTCGTTTCGGATATATTTGAAAAATTCAAAATGATCTCGTAACGCCAATCTTGCAGCAGTTGGAGCGAAACATTTGAAAACGTACTTGGCTGAGATAATGATCCTGATATTTTTATGACGCGATAGGTAGATCAGCTGTTAATGTATACAAAACATCGCGGATGCGCCGCGTTATCTGGCGACATTGTCGCTTGTGTATCCGTGTACCACTTATCGCATACGTATACATATGTTTACGCGCGTGTCTGTCACGCATGTATAAAGAAAATGGATAGTCTAAACATCTCTCGCAGATCTACAAACCATGTTTATAGATTGTCTCCTGTATATTTCTATACATCGGTACATGTAAAAGAATCGAAGATAGGATCGCGAATAAGGGTCGAAAGATTCCGTTATTTTCAGCCATGTGTCGGTGGAGTACAGTTAACGTTAAGTGCGATTATATCGTCGTACGAATATTTTTCGTGAGTTTGCGTGTAGTTAGACATCTTATTGTTAGCCATTTTAGATTTTGTTTAAAGAGAAAACGAGTGGATTTTTCTTTCTCGTTTAAAAATAAATAGGATCAAATCCACGGACACGAATCCGAGGTGAATGTCTCGGTAATCACCGGAAGTGACAAGAAATCGAGCGTAATGGGGAAACGCACACATACGCACACAAATTAACAAAATAAATATTATTATCTTACGAAACGATAAATTTTTCAATCAACAACAAAAGATTGTTGCGATAAATCGAAACCAAACGAATCCATTGATAACAGAAGAGAGAAAGAGAGGGAGGGAGAAAGGGGAAGAGAGAGAGAGAGAGAGGGAAAGAGCAGAGAAGAAAGGATTGTGGGTTGCTAACCTGACGCGATACCCCTGCTCGTCGGCAAGGACGAGGGTGAGAGCGAGATCACGCGAGACAGAGGACAGAGGACAGAGTACGCCTCGCCACCTCGCGAATCGAAACGCGAAGAGGTGAGGTGAAACGAGAAGAGGAGAGGAAAGGAAAGGAGAGGCGAGGCGGGACGGGACGAGGCACAACGAATGAGGCAGCTGACAGGCCCCATCAGCTGAGAACGTACACAAACCCGATGATTTAACGCGACGTATCCGCGGGCATTAACGCGGGTTCGATGCGCGATAGCGCGTCAAATTTGACGCGCGAGATAATAAAATATAATGTCCCTCGTCGAACGCGAGAATGTTACGGAAGTTACGAAAACAATAATGCGTAGTTGGTTCGAGACGGAGGCAAGTATGGAGTACGTGACTACGACTATACGTTTCAATACAGTCGCAATCGCGAGAACGATGAGAAAGAGCTTTCGGGGTCGGAGAGACGGCGAAATAACAAGAGCGAGGAGAGAGAGAGAGAGACTTATTTATACCGATCGAAAGCGATATATACGAAGCGCGCGCGGTCGTCTTACGCTTCGATCAGCCCGATTTCGCGTCGTGGATATATCGTGTCGTCGCCTACGGATTGCATCGCTGCTAGACTTTGGCGATTCTCTAGCTTTCGTGGCGCCGTGAAAAACACCTGACGCGATCGCGCATCGTACACGATATATATACACGCGGAGAAAAATCACAAAGAGAGAGAGAGAGAGAGAGAGAGAGAGAGAGAGAAAGTTATTCGGATAAACAAAGATAAGGAGCGCGTTGGACATTTTATTTTGATTTTTTATTTTACATACCTCCATATGCATCCGTGACCGCTGCAGCAGCGTGCGACGACGACGCGGTTGTTGCTCGGTCCTCCTCTCTCTACTCTCTCGCGGCTCGGGCCTCGGAGCGCGAACGACCACGGATCACGGCTGTTTCGTCTCTGTACGATTGTGCCACAAACAACGACGGCGACGGCTACAGTTCGTCACGATCATTACTAAATTACGCGAGACGCGCTTGCACGTCCAGCGAACCACACACCGTGACTGCTGATCGTTGCTCTCTGATGCTCTCTGATCGACTCTCGTCTCGGCGTCGTTCGATTTATTTCGGTTCGTCCGCAGGCGAAAGGCGAAATCGCGCACACAGGCACGGGCACACGCACGGGCACACGCACGGTGAACGGTGACCCGTTTCGCGCGCACGCGCCGCGTGCCGCGTCCCCGTCCTCGTCCACGATCCCCGACTTCAGACCGGACACCGCCAGTAGAGCGCGCGAATCTAGCAATTTCAAATGTTGAAGACAAAAATATGCGTGCAGAGGCAACGGAGGCTTCATTTCGCCTCGCATCGCGTCTACATGTATATGCAACAGCTACTTTTTTCAAATTATCTACAATCTTTTTCTCCCACATTGAAACTATTTTATACAATTATCATTGTCGTCAAACATCTGTACATATATATGTGTGTATGTGTTTAGTCTATAAATATATTTGAATTTACACACACTGAGATATAATCATACCTGAAAGATATGAAAAAATGCAGCCCTCTTGTCTCCTTTTTTCTCATTTTAGAAGATGAAATTATATTTCAAACATGTGAAGAGATATATTTGCTACTTTCTTCTTTTTTATTTTAGAAAAAAAATGTCATATATTTTAAAGATGAAGATATAATTATCTACGTCCGATATTATCTTTGTAAATATTTAAATAAATTTCGCCAAATAATAGATAATTATCGAAAATACTATTTTATTGTACATACGGCTTTTTTTTTTTTTTTTTAAGAGTTTATTTAATAACGCTTAGCAAAATCTGCAATTAGTTCTACTATTTTGGTAATGCACGTTTTGTCGTTCGCACATTATATCTCCTCTTACATTCCAGAATCGACGAAAGATGCGCATTAAGTGATATTCTTAGGGAAATATGATCGATTTTTCATAGTTAAATTGAAGAAACATCAATAATTCTATAATCTAGTTAAAATGAAGATTTTAGCAAATTGAACTTTGGAGACGCAAATAAATAACATGCAAAATATTATACATTGTTCAATTTAAAATGGCCTTTAATCGAAAATTTTAACTCGAGATCATCGGATATGGAATTGAAACGTTCAATGTTGCTGTAAAAGATGATCTCAAAGATTGTAATAAATTATAATCTTTTTGATCTTGAGACATTCTCAATCAACCAATTTCAAATTTCAAAAAGAAACGACACATATTCACTCTTGCGCCAATTCTGGTATGCTCTTTGTATAAAAAACATGACAAATAATATACATTTGTATAAACACATCTCAGATCTCAAAAATAGATTAATGACGAAATTGTATAATTTTTTGCGCAATTGTTGTTTATACTCTTACACTAATATATGATAAAAGAAAAACGCACAAACTTTTTAATCAATCTAATATACCTCCATCATATTATTGCGCGATATGTACTTACTTTACTTACATACCGATGTGATGTCCACAGTATTCTGGAACTTCTCGAATTGTTTAATAAGTTTGTAACCAAAAAAGTAGAAAATGCAGAAGGCAACTTAAAAGTTTATCGTCTTAACCAAAAAAGAAAAAATATATAAAATATTGATTAATGTTTGTAATTTTTGAATGTCGCTGTATAATAGAATATAATGATAAAAAAATTGACAATGATAGAAAAATTGGCACGGATAGATAAGACTCGCACTTTAAAAACTTCGTAGTTTCTTCACATAAACGAATATCGGTATATCAGCAGTACTCTATGTTGCTTCAGAAAAAAGATAGATACGTATTTTAAAACTATGTAGGAAACCTTTATTCGTATTTCTTCCGATTTTCTAACTAATCTATCAGTTAATATATATTTGCTGACAAAGAAATTAAATTTGCATTTTACTAAAAGAGCCCACTAAGCAATCTCATGTATCTGTATCGAAATACGACGCGTACTTTTTTATCGCGAAGAAGAAATGGTGAAGAAATATTTTAATCAAAGAAGATAATTAAAAATGCGGCTAGTAATTCCCACGATTCTAAACATGAAGTGCGCGTTACAGAGATTTCTACATGTACATTAGAATACATGGACCAATCTTTGTAATTTATATATATATATATAATTTTTGCGATATCTTCTTAAACATACCGTCCATGATTGATGTAAAACTAATATATGTATTAGTCTCATGTTTATAATGTATACATCGTATATGTCGCCGATACGAGAATCGCGTTAATTTCTCACGAAAAACATTTACATCCATTTATTGATATTTGGATTTTATAAAACCGGGATTCTTACGTATTTCTAAAATTTAACAAGCAGTTTGTGTGCTCGTATCCTTTAACGTAAAAATATAAATTGCGCGGGACTAAAATGCTATCTTGGATAAATCTAAGCTTTAAAAATGCTTCATAAATGCGCAATGTCTGCCACCCTCTTTCTCTTCGCCGAAATCGTTTACAGAATCTTCCACTCTCTAATCCTTCTGTTCATACACAAATTACCTCGTCTCAATTATCATCGTACAAATACATTGAGAAGGATAAACAACAAAGCAGCGATACACGGCGAACTTATTTTTTTTCCTTTATATCTTGATTTATTTAATATATACTTTCTTATAAAGTGACGTCCTACTAAATAAAAGTAAATGAAAAAATCACCAAATAATATGTTAATATATTCATTAAAATTCTTCTTCTCGTTAAGGCAACTAATTTGTTTAGTCTCATTTTACATATCTAGAGTATATATTTATATATTTATATATATATTTATTTTTATATTTGTATATTTATAAAGTATATGTAAAACACTAACATGTGGTTATTTTTATTTTCTTGTTACAAGCCTTATATTAATTAGAATATAGTATGTATATTTTGTATATTCTTACATACTCTTGTAATAAAATCGATTATTCCGTATTTGGATCTAGAGATAATAAATATATATCTAATGTATATTGTTAGTACAAGAGAAGTGCGTGCAGAGGGTGGCAGCGGGGTGCGCATTTGGGAGTGCTATTGTTTCAAGGACTTTCCAGTCCTTCGTCTTTATACCGTCTCACATGGTGACATTCAACTGTATTGCTTTAGCGTCCACGGAACATGCTTGCTGCTGCTGCTGCGTTTGTTGCTGCTGCTGCTGCTGTTGTTGCTGCTGCTGCTGCTGTTGCTGCTGTACCTGTTGTTGTACCTGTTGTTGTACTTGCTGCTGTATTGCCTGCAGTTGAATCGTTTTTGTATCGACGGTCATTGTCTGCTGCTGCTGCGGTTGCTGTACTTGTTGTTGTTGCACTTGCTGCTGCTGCTGCTGCTGTGCTGCTGCTGCGCTTGTTGAGCAGCAGCTTGGGCAGCTTGTCTTTGTTGCTGTCTAAGTATACTAGGTGGCGGATCCATATGTTGACGCTGATGTAGTAACAAATGATTCTTTTGGAAGAAAGCTTTGCCGCATTTGTCGCATACGTGGGATCTTATGTGACAGCTGCCGTCTGTGTGACGTCGTTGATGTTGCGACAAACCATGCTTCTGTGCAAAGCCACGACCGCAATCAGGACAAATGTGCGGCTTAGGTTTTGGTCCTGATCCCACTGGCGGCGATGTTTGAGTTGCGCCGTGCATATGACTAACACTAGGCGTTCCTATCGGTCCGTTCATCTGTATAAATATTTTATTTATTAATTACATGTTTTATACACTTTGAATTCATATAATGCTTTCTAATTCCATAGTAAGATATCTTTATCCGCGATATATTAGGGCAATATTTGAATAATTTATATAAAAAATAGTGTGTTTTGCAAATAATAATCTCTCTGAGATAAAATTAATACTAAATAAAATCAAAACGATAATGTGATTACTTTTTAAACTAAATTTTCATTGAAGGAATAAAGTTGAAATCTACATTATCTTCAAATATCTCTCTTTACGTAAACGTATCTTGAATTACAAAAACGATATGATCATTACCTGATGAGTTGTTGGAGTGTTTGGGGTAAGGAAATGTGCCGGAGTTTGCTGGAAGGCGGCCGCTAGTCCACAAAGATCCGTTACAAGTGTTCGATCACCAGTATGTAACCTTTGATGTAAATTTAGAGCTTCTCGATTTGGAAAATCCAATCCACATTCCCTGAAATGATAACTCGTTGTTAGGAATTGATGCTCTTACAAAAAAAGAGATAAAATATATACTCTGTATATTCATAATAATAAACATATATTTGAATTATATATCTTTTAGCTTTTTCTCTCGCTTAACTGTAATGTTAAAACTTAGGATCCATTTTATTTTATTAATCAGATACATGAATAAGTTTTAAAAAATGTTGCTTTCTAATATACTTCTTTTCGACTATCTTAAATAAAAAACTATAACTAAGAGGATACGATCTGTTTCCATTATACATTTTGCATCAAAATATATGCCGATGTAAATGATTTTAACTCGCAGCATTGTATCGTATATTTTAAATTCTATATCCAGAATATATTACTTTCCCTTATAAAACACCTTATTGTATATTTTATTACAATCCTAGTTATTGTTAGAAGTACACTATAAAATTAATCTCTCTCATTGTAAAAAGACTGAAAAGGAATGATTTGAAAATTTGCTCCTAAAATAAAGTTAGTAAATTGCTAATTATAACTAATTATACTATTTATGATGTCTCACCTGCATGTAAGAGACTTCTCATCAGTATTTGTATTGTTATTATGAATCTTTGAATGAGCTACCAAGTCTGCCTTCCGAGGAAATGCTTCTCCGCAAACAGTGCAAGCATAGGGTGTTTCACCTGTATGTAAGCGCATATGAGCTAAAAGTGTTCTCTTCTGCAGAAATTCTTTTCCACAAGCAGTACACGAGTGTGGAACTCTGCCATGCAGCCGACCATGATTAACCAACTCAAACTTCCTCTGGAAAGTCGCACCGCAATCATGGCAAACAAATGGATGTAGGCTGCCATGGAAGCGTGAATGCATAGTAAGATGATCTTTTTGAGAAAAAGATTCTCCACATTCTTCGCAAACATAAGGTCTTTCTCCCGAATGAAACTTACTATGCGTCACTAAGTGACGTTTCAGAGGAAATGCTCTTCCACATTCCTGGCAGACAAATGGCCGTTCCCGAGTGTGTACGCGAGTGTGCGTTACAAGATGATGCTTCAATGTAAAGGATTTTTTACATTCGCGACATTGGTACGGCCTTTCGGCGCTGTGCAGTAGCAGATGCGTATGAAGACAATGCTTGTGCGCAAAACTCTTGCCGCAATGAACGCAAATGTGTGGCCGTTCTCCAGTGTGTACTCTCGCGTGCGTCGTAAGATGATGTTTCAGCAGAAAGGATTTCCCGCATTCGGAACAAGAATACGGTCGTTCCTTGGGCACACGGACCTGACTTCCCATATCCTGTTGCTGTTTGACTTTTGTCTCGATTTGCGTAGTGTTGACATGGGTGAGAACATGCCCGAAATGAGCGGTACTGTCCGTCTGACTCGTCGCCACATTATTCGCCGCGTTGGCTTGATTAGACGCAGCGGCTGCTCTCTTCATTAAAATTTCATTGCACTCTTCTGCCGTAAGCTGTATTGGTCCAAGCGGTGTCATGAAGTGCTTGCTCATGGCATGCTTATCGGCTGTTGTAAAAACTAAGGTGTTGGAGAACAAGGAAGGTGGAGGTGTGGGATGCGCCGCGTCGCAATTGCATCCGCCTTTGTCACATGTTAATGAAAATACATCGTGATGCTTTTTAGCGCGAACGTGAGTACCATGGGTCGTTTGATTATGCGCTCCCCCTGTATGGCCATGATGCGTAGTGGGTGTTTGCTGACAACTCTCGTTCATCGCAAACATTGGACGACGGTGAGTGGTAGCTGCAACCTTTGCCGGTTTGATGTCAACCTGTATCTTTTGACTGGATCCTTGATCCTGATTATTATTAACGGCATAACTGATATTCGTCGCAAGTTCGCTCTGGGCATTCTCCCGGGTCTCTGTCCCTGGTCCGCTAAAGGACCAAGCGTACCCACCGAATCCTGCACCCGCATTGCCAGGTGTAGTACACATATTCGTCAAAGTTGTAACGGATGGGTTAGTCTGGCTCGACGCGGTGCTGCTGGTTGTCGGCTCCTCCGTTTCTACCAATGCATCTTCCTCGCCAACCCTTTCCACTACAACAAACTGATCCGTAGGAAATATTTTGAGAGGTTCCAAATAAACGTACCCGTTACACTCCAGTATCTTGGCCTTGGATATCAAATACAGGTGTCATATCTGTCAGGAACGGCCGTAAAATATATAATGCGACGATCGTAGCTCGCAGGCTCGGTAATTGACAATACCCGGCTATTCGGAGCACGTAGAATTGGAGTAAATTCTGTAAGGTGGTTAATACCTCCAAAGTATCATAAGTGTGTAACGAAGCGTGCTCCCGAGGCGCTCTCGCCGATCTCGGGATCGCGACGCGGGCCCCGGGAGATGATGCGTCGAGACGAGGGGGAGCTTACGCGGGACGAGGCGAGTGCATCATCGGTAATATCGGAGCGGGCGACGACTGAATTGGCCGTAGATGCTTTCGTAGAGTCGCCTTTCGTATTGTTGCCGCGCCGCTGTGCGCCAATAGAAAAAAGCACGCCGCCTCTAGCCGCACGTCTAGACGGGCTCTTTCTATGTGTTGGATACCATAAGTGAGGAGCACTCGTTCTCTCGCTCCCGCGGCGTCCACTGGGTCCTCTCGGAAGACAACCTGCACCTTCTTCCCGCGGCACTCCCACACGCTCACTCGCGCTCCGCACACTTTTTCCGCGTTTCCCGCTCACGGTACTCGCTTCTCGCTTACACGCACGCACCGCCGATGGTCATTAATTTTACATAATTGCATATTTTATTGTCCATACCAAACTAGCCTCACAATCGGCCATTTTATTTGTAAACTACCAAAAAACAATGTTGCCAATGTACGCGCGATTTTGGAGGGATCGGAGCCGCCGATAGCGTCGCCGTCGCCGAGCGCTTCCGTGATGGCAGCACTTTTCGCTCTTTGCCCTTTTGCCGTTTGCCGACCGCGCGAGGCGCGAGGCGCGAGGCGCGAGCGCGGAGCGCGCGAGCGCGCGAGCCACGACCACGTCCGACACTTTTTTTCCGCCATATTTGAATTTGCGCCCAACTTGTTTTTATACTCGTTCTACAGTCAGTGGAACCCATGGAATTTGCGTCTTTCATTTCCCGGCAAGTGTGTTATTTCTTTTTTCCCTCATTTCGTCTCAATACGGTTGCAACCGTTCAACTTTTATATTCACGCGTACACGTCAATTATGACAGGTACTGCCCAATAATAATGGGAAAGGAAATTCTCTCTTTCTCTCTCTATGCGTATCAAAATATATTATTCTATTTTCAAACAAATACATTGATGCATCTTTGCAACTTGCATCAATTGTATTTTGCTTTTAACCGTATTGGTTATATATATTTTTTCTTTATTTTCTCCTTATTTTGCAAGTAAAAATATTACGATAAAGTCGCATTTTATGTATGTGTGTGTGTGTGTGTGTGTGTGTGTGTGTGTGTGTGTGTGTGTGTGTGTGTGTGTGTGTGTGTGTGTGTGTGTGTGTGTGTGTGTGTGTGTGTGTGTGTGTGTGTGTGTGTGTGTGTGTGTGTGTGTGTGTGTGTGTGTGTGTGTGTGTGTGTGTGTGTGTGTGTGTGTGTGTGTGTGTGTGTGTGTGTGTGTGTGTGTGTGTGTGTGTGTGTGTGTGTGTGTGCTGCGTGTGTGTGTTGCGTATGTGTGTAGGTGTGAAAGTAGGTACGAATATCGAGGACACCATTTTAGTCCACGCTTGTGGTTATCTTATTAATACGGTTGTCATCGATTAGAAAAAATAGTGTAATCTGGGGGAGAAGAAAGAAAATGAGAGACATATTTTATCCTCTTATTGTTAGTATAAGAATAATCGCGATAAATCGATGCGATGTCTATAAATAACTAATAAAATGACGGCGCATGAGCGATAGGACGCGAATCGGGATCTACGATCGATATAGATAGATCGATGAGCGTTGGCGGCCAACGACAACGCCAACGCCGAGATCGTTTTCATCATTTACAGCCGGTATGCGGCGACGAGTTATGAGACGTAGAGGTCCCTCTAGGTGATACGAGAGGACGGAGAAACAGTTTCATCGGACGGCTGGTCATCGGACATCGGATGGCGCGGTAGCGCGAACTCAGCAACTGATAAGCAATGCCCGCTCGTTAATGGTCCGGCATCACGACTTGGCAAAAAGCCAATGCATGCTTGTTAGAATAAGAATTTCGCAATCGCGTCTATTCCATCTACCGCATTCTAACGCGTTTACGTGTTTGCGCTTTAAAATGTATATATAACATATGGTATGTGTGTGTGTGTGTGTGTGTGTGTGTGTGTGTGTGTGTGTGTGTGTGTGTGTGTGTGTGTGTGTGTGTGTGTGTGTGTGTGTGTGTGTGTGTGTGTGTGTGTGTGTGTGTGTGTGTGTGTGTGTGTGTGTGTGTGTGTGTGTGTGTGTGTGTGTGTGTGTGTGTGTGTGTGTGTGTGTGTGTGTGTGTGTGTGTGTGTGTGTGTGTGTGTGTGTGTGTGTGTGTGTGTGTGTGTGTGTGTGTGTGTGTGTGTGTGTGTGTGTGTGTGTGTGTGTGTGTGTGTGTGTGTGTGTGTGTGTGTGTGTGTGTGTGTGTGTGTGTGTGTGTGTGTGTGTGTGTGTGTGTGTGTGTGTGTGTGTGTGTGTGTGTGTGTGTGTGTGTGTGTGTGTGTGTGTGTGTGTGTGTGTGTGTGTGTGTGTGTGTGTGTGTGTGTGTGTGTGTGTGTGTGTGTGTGTGTGTGTGTGTGTGTGTGTGTGTGTGTGTGTGTGTGTGTGTGTGTGTGTGTGTGTGTGTGTGTGTGTGTGTGTGTGTGTGTGTGTGTGTGTGTGTGTGTGTGTGTGTGTGTGTGTGTGTGTGTGTGTGTGTGTGTGTGTGTGTGTGTGTGTGTGTGTGTGTGTGTGTGTGTGTGTGTGTGTGTGTGTGTGTGTGTGTGTGTGTGTGTGTGTGTGTGTGTGTGTGTGTGTGTGTGTGTGTGTGTGTGTGTGTGTGTGTGTGTGTGTGTGTGTGTGTGTGTGTGTGTGTGTGTGTGTGTGTGTGTGTGTGTGTGTGTGTGTGTGTGTGTGTGTGTGTGTGTGTGTGTGTGTGTGTGTGTGTGTGTGTGTGTGTGTGTGTGTGTGTGTGTGTGTGTGTGTGTGTGTGTGTGTGTGTGTGTGTGTGTGTGTGTGTGTGTGTGTGTGTGTGTGTGTGTGTGTGTGTGTGTGTGTGTGTGTGTGTGTGTGTGTGTGTGTGTGTGTGTGTGTGTGTGTGTGTGTGTGTGTGTGTGTGTGTGTGTGTGTGTGTGTGTGTGTGTGTGTGTGTGTGTGTGTGTGTGTGTGTGTGTGTGTGTGTGTGTGTGTGTGTGTGTGTGTGTGTGTGTGTGTGTGTGTGTGTGTGTGTGTGTGTGTGTGTGTGTGTGTGTGTGTGTGTGTGTGTGTGTGTGTGTGTGTGTGTGTGTGTGTGTGTGTGTGTGTGTGTGTGTGTGTGTGTGTGTGTGTGTGTGTGTGTGTGTGTGTGTGTGTGTGTGTGTGTGTGTGTGTGTGTGTGTGTGTGTGTGTGTGTGTGTGTGTGTGTGTGTGTGTGTGTGTGTGTGTGTGTGTGTGTGTGTGTGTGTGTGTGTGTGTGTGTGTGTGTGTGTGTGTGTGTGTGTGTGTGTGTGTGTGTGTGTGTGTGTGTGTGTGTGTGTGTGTGTGTGTGTGTGTGTGTGTGTGTGTGTGTGTGTGTGTGTGTGTGTGTGTGTGTGTGTGTGTGTGTGTGTGTGTGTGTGTGTGTGTGTGTGTGTGTGTGTGTGTGTGTGTGTGTGTGTGTGTGTGTGTGTGTGTGTGTGTGTGTGTGTGTGTGTGTGTGTGTGTGTGTGTGTGTGTGTGTGTGTGTGTGTGTGTGTGTGTGTGTGTGTGTGTGTGTGTGTGTGTGTGTGTGTGTGTGTGTGTGTGTGTGTGTGTGTGTGTGTGTGTGTGTGTGTGTGTGTGTGTGTGTGTGTGTGTGTGTGTGTGTGTGTGTGTGTGTGTGTGTGTGTGTGTGTGTGTGTGTGTGTGTGTGTGTGTGTGTGTGTGTGTGTGTGTGTGTGTGTGTGTGTGTGTGTGTGTGTGTGTGTGTGTGTGTGTGTGTGTGTGTGTGTGTGTGTGTGTGTGTGTGTGTGTGTGTGTGTGTGTGTGTGTGTGTGTGTGTGTGTGTGTGTGTGTGTGTGTGTGTGTGTGTGTGTGTGTGTGTGTGTGTGTGTGTGTGTGTGTGTGTGTGTGTGTGTGTGTGTGTGTGTGTGTGTGTGTGTGTGTGTGTGTGTGTGTGTGTGTGTGTGTGTGTGTGTGTGTGTGTGTGTGTGTGTGTGTGTGTGTGTGTGTGTGTGTGTGTGTGTGTGTGTGTGTGTGTGTGTGTGTGTGTGTGTGTGTGTGTGTGTGTGTGTGTGTGTGTGTGTGTGTGTGTGTGTGTGTGTGTGTGTGTGTGTGTGTGTGTGTGTGTGTGTGTGTGTGTGTGTGTGTGTGTGTGTGTGTGTGTGTGTGTGTGTGTGTGTGTGTGTGTGTGTGTGTGTGTGTGTGTGTGTGTGTGTGTGTGTGTGTGTGTGTGTGTGTGTGTGTGTGTGTGTGTGTGTGTGTGTGTGTGTGTGTGTGTGTGTGTGTGTGTGTGTGTGTGTGTGTGTGTGTGTGTGTGTGTGTGTGTGTGTGTGTGTGTGTGTGTGTGTGTGTGTGTGTGTGTGTGTGTGTGTGTGTGTGTGTGTGTGTGTGTGTGTGTGTGTGTGTGTGTGTGTGTGTGTGTGTGTGTGTGTGTGTGTGTGTGTGTGTGTGTGTGTGTGTGTGTGTGTGTGTGTGTGTGTGTGTGTGTGTGTGTGTGTGTGTGTGTGTGTGTGTGTGTGTGTGTGTGTGTGTGTGTGTGTGTGTGTGTGTGTGTGTGTGTGTGTGTGTGTGTGTGTGTGTGTGTGTGTGTGTGTGTGTGTGTGTGTGTGTGTGTGTGTGTGTGTGTGTGTGTGTGTGTGTGTGTGTGTGTGTGTGTGTGTGTGTGTGTGTGTGTGTGTGTGTGTGTGTGTGTGTGTGTGTGTGTGTGTGTGTGTGTGTGTGTGTGTGTGTGTGTGTGTGTGTGTGTGTGTGTGTGTGTGTGTGTGTGTGTGTGTGTGTGTGTGTGTGTGTGTGTGTGTGTGTGTGTGTGTGTGTGTGTGTGTGTGTGTGTGTGTGTGTGTGTGTGTGTGTGT